CTAGGGAGTCAGGGACGTTTTTCTCCATGAAGTGACAGCTGAGCAGAGGGAAGCTGTGTGGGGCAAGAAAGTGGGTGTGGAAGGTAAGGGAGAAAGGCAAAGAGCTTTGGAACTCAGTTGTGCTTTTCCCAGTGTGGCCTGTGACCGCCTGGCCCCCAAATCTCCCTAGCCTTGTGCAAAAAAAAAAAACACAGATCCCTGTGCTCCCCCCCCCACCCCCCCCCCGCAACTGAACCTGTCTCTGGGGCCAAGATAGGAATGTATGGTATTGACAAGCCCTCAGGTGGTTGTTCCGTAAACCTGGTTTAAGAGCCGCCCATCCTGTCTGTCCAGACCGGCAGGAACTGTGGACAGAGGCCAGACCCTGCAAGGTCTATCTGGGCTTACGTAGAGGCACCGAGGAACAGGCCCGTTTCTATTCTGGAAAGTTCACTCTGGATGTTGAAGGATAGGTTGGTGAGGGAAGTCAGACTCAGAGGGCTGAGTGCTGCATGATTCCATGTATATGGATTTCTGGAGGGAGTGGAACTATAAAGACAGAAAACAGATCTGGGTTTGGGGAAGGTGGAGGGGGGTTGACAGTAGGGTCACAGGGACTTGCGGAAGGTGATGGATTGTTGTGTATCTTGGTCATGATGATGGATATACAACTGTGTGTGTCAGGACTCACGTACACTCAAGAGGGTGAATTTTACGGTGTATAAATTGTATCTGAATTTTTAAATAAAAAAGAAACAAGAAAAAATAGATTCATAGCTCAATGAAACAGAATCAAGAGTCCAAATATAAACTCTTACATTTCTGGTCAATCGATTTTTGACAAAGGATCCAAGACCATTCAATGTGGGAAAGGATAGTCTTTTCAATAAATACTTCTGGGACAGTTGGATATTCACATACAAAGGTTGAATCTAGATCTTGACCTCACACAAGGCACACAAATTAATTCAAAATAGATCGACCTAAATGTAAGAGCTAAAACCAAAAAACTTCTAGGAGAAACCATGGGAGAAAATCTTTATGAATTTGTCTCAAATACAACAGCAAAAGCACAGGTGACAAGTGAAAAAATTGATAAATTAGGCTTCATCAAAATTTTAAATTTTTTGCCCTTCAACAGACACCACTAAGAAAATACACACACACACACACACACACACACACAACTTGTCAAACACTGGGAGTAAATATAGCTGATTAGGGACTTTGTATCCAGGATATATAAAGAACTCTTACAAATCAATAATAGACAAACAACCCAATTAAAAATGGGCAAAATATTTGGGTAGATGTTTTTCCAGATAAGATATATGAGTGGCTAGTAAAGTTGCTCTTGTAAAGATGCTCAACATCATTCGTCATTAGATAAATGCCAATTAAAGCCACAATGAGCCCTGGCCAGTTTTGCTCAGTGGATAGAGTATCAGCCTGTGGACTGAAGGGTCCCAGGTTAGATTCTGGTCAAGGGCACGTACCTGGGTTGCAGGCTCAGTACCTGGGTTGCAGGCTCAATCCCCGGGCCCCAAAAGGGCCCTTGTGGGAGGCAACCAATCAATATGTCTCTCGCATATCGATGTTTCTCTCTCTGTCTGTCTCTCTAAAAATCAATGGAAAAATATCCTCGAGTGAGGATTAACAACAACAAAATCCCACAATGATATACCACCTCACACTCATCAGAATGACTATAATCAAAGGGACAGATAAGTGTTGACAAAGATATGGGGAAACAAATCCTTATATATTGCTGGTGGGAATGTAAAATGGTACAGCCACTTTGAAAAACAGTTTGTCAGTTTCTTAAAAAGTTAAACATAAACTTACCATGCAATCCAGCAATTCTATTCCTAGAATCTACCCAAGAGAAATGAAAACACGTACCAAGACAGTTACATGAACATTCATAGCAGCATTATTCCAAATAGCCAAAAACTGGACTTTCAAATGTCCATCAATTAGAATACATAAACAAAAGGTGACATCCATAAAATGGGATACCAAGCTACAAAAAGGAGCAAACTACTGGTACAAGCTACAGCATGGATGAACCTCAAAACCTTTACACTGAATGAAAGAAGCCAGAAGCGAAAGACCACATATTTTATCGTTCCATTTAATACACGAAATGTCCAGAAAAGGCAAGTTTATAGACAGAAAGCAAGTCCGTGGTTGCCTAGGACTGGAGTTGAGAGCTGGATTGACTGCAAGCAGGCAAGAGGGACCTTTTGAGGTTGATGGAAATGTTCTGTAATTGGATTGTAGCCATGGGTACACAAATCTCTATGTCATTGTTTTAAAACGAATGGTTTAAAGAAATGCTAGAGTGGGTAACCTGTTAGTATATTATGGCCGGACGCCAGGGAGGGAAGAGGCAGGGAGACGTCCTTCCCAGCCTCCATTTCTAGAGTCGCAAAATGGGAATAATGGTGCCAGCCTGTAGTAAGGCTGGGATGACAGGGGAGGTGCAGGGACTGGAAGCACAGTGATGAGATCAGAGAGCATATGAAGTGGGGAGGCCCTAAAGCCTATGGGTTCCCTAATGGAGGGGAGAGAGGTGGGTCACTGGCCCCCA